ATATATGAAAAGTAAAGTATGATGTAAAATATGCAACAAAACCAACAAAACTTCAGTAAACACATTGACAATAATAACATTCGTCATCTTACCTATGCCCTCTTTTATTTACATATGCATGTTTTTCTTAATCAGTAATCAGCCGTTCCTGGGAAAATATGAATTCAAATGTGCAAAGAAAGAAATGAAGTAAATTACATTTTCAAATAAACCAGTTGTTTTTTTGAATACTGTCTCTAAATATTAACTCAAGGTTACTAAATCAAAACGCATAACTGAGAAAAAAGCTTCAAGAAACGATTGTAAAAAAACTTTAATAAACGACAAATTGCAACTAATAAAATATACACTCACAACAAAGTTATTTTTAGATTTTGCTGTAAGAGCACATGTAATATAACTAGACTTACACTTGTTATCATTTTGCAATTTTCTTATAATACTAGCTTAAACAGAAAACTAACTAGTCAAGAAAAAGGCATTCATTAAAAGAGGAGAATTCTGAATTCCCATTTGCAGGTGAGGTATTAGAAAAAGTCTTGTTATGAATATCACTATCAGATTTTCCTGAAGCATTTGGAACACTTTGAGATGAATTTATTTCTGGCTCAGCCTTTTCTAGTTTACCCTTAATGTCACTTTTTTCGTTGTCCTCATTACTACATGACTTATGCACTGAAATTTCTGCAGAATTTCCAGCGTCTGTTTTTTCCGCCATCATGTTGACCAACATTTGTCCTCGTTGCTTTTCTAATTCTTTAGCAGCATCGTGCACCTAAACACCGTATCATAGTAGTAATTCTAGAAACAACTTTTGCTAACCGTTTTAAGTGATAAAACTGCACAATTATTGTAAAATGAAGCCAGAAAAGTTGTAGAACAGTTTTCAATCTAAAGAAAGCAAGAAAACTTAGAGTGAAATTCTTGATTAGCATATAAATCGAAAAAGCTTTCCAGTCCATACGACAAAGAATCTTCATCCGTTTTCGAGAGACTTTACGACTTTTTACATGATTTTGATTAGCTTTAGAGAAATATCTCGTAAAAACTATAATAATACTTGATCAAGGTAATATGGTCCACCATAATTTATTAACCAATTATAAGCGTATCTCGGGATACTGCTTTCAGGATTATCGTGATAAGAAAGAATATAATCGAATCCTTTGCAATCAAAACTTTCATGAGCGCGAACCACCATTACAGACCGGTATGTTTCGACCCGTACATACTTATTTTCAGTCGTAGGTATAATTTTGGCACTATCAGTTACTGCACAATTTGCTATCACAATGCACCGATCTTTTTCGTTTATATATCTGAATATTCAATTCTTGTTTGAACTTTATGCAATTTTTCCATTTTTATGCCTTTCCTTGAAAACAAATTTACTTCTTGCATGAAACATAAGCCATGATTCATTAAAAAAAGAAGAGTGCTATTCATTTTCAAGTGCAAAAATTTGACTGTTAATATTTGTAAATTGTTCGATAAAATGATTAGTCTAGAAATCCAAATTAGACTGTTTATTCCAAATTGAACTCTTAGAACATAAACTTTATTCCATTATTATTCCTCTGTTCTTAACTCAAAAATTTCAGCCTTAAAAAAACTTACCTCCGTCTCACAAACACATACTCACGCGGATACAATGGGTAAGGAAATTTCGTGATCCAATGAATGAGCTCCGAGTCTGTAGTTTCATCTTTCCGAACCAGTTCCAATTTTTCAACATTTGGATCCCATTTTTTTCGGAAAACAAGATCCATTTGAGCATCAACAAAATCACTTGCAGTTATATCACTGAAAAAGAAAAATGATATCTACGGCTATTATATTTGGCACCTTAGAAAAGTATTTAGCCAGCTATATCATTCTCCTTCATTAAGCATGTGATAAAATCTGTTCCGTTGAAAAGAAGAAGCAAATAAACTTACTTATATGAACCTGAACAACGAAACTCATATACACCGGTATCAGCATGCCATCGTCGAAGCACTTTTGAATTTTCTTCATTACGTATAATCTGTAAAACATTGTTCCATTCCCATTCGACGTGAAGTGCATTGTCAAGGAATAAAATTAAATCTTCTAAGCTTGAATTCAACACAAAATCTCAAAACTTAGATATGTACACTGAAAACGAAACTACAAAAAAAACGCAGTTTTTGGCATTAATATAAGAAGAAGTACATACCTCCCAATTTTCGCGATCACAGTCGAGATTTAATTTTGCTTCGGCTAACATCACTTCATCTGAGATCCCATTTTCATGAAAGGAAAAGCCAACTGCCGCAATAGGCAAAAAAAGTGTTGGCGACCAATGATAACTTAAAAGCAACTTCATAAGAAAAAAAGTTTACGAAAAAGAACCAAACAATACCAAAGCACAGTCTAAAAAAAGCAGTTTTACAGCCTACTGAACAACTATCAAATCTGAAAATTCATCTTTGGAAGTTGAAAAACTTATTAATTTTTTTTGAGTAAAATCTACTGCCTAAATATGATGGCCACATGATATTATTTAGAATGTCAAACTTTTTTGGAATTTTAGGCAATTTAATTTTATCCATAGAATTACGACATAATTTATCATACCATAGCAACTAGCTGACCAAATTAAGCTTTTACGAAGATAAAACAAAACTGAAATGCTATAACTTATATAAATACCACAATGGACAGAAAAATTATCTAACTATTTCCGCCATCGTTTTTCATTGTTTCTTCGATTCGTACATGCAGCCCATTTGCGTAAATGGAATTTTATGGAATGTCCGAATAATATATAAAAAATTCGATTCCAACTTTCGCGCAATGAAAATGCTATTCGGCGCATTAGGTTTTCTAAGTTGAAACTTTTATTTTAATCACTGCTCTTGCCAACGCAGCATCAACAGAAACCCTAGAGTTTATACATATTAAAAATAAACCACAAACACTAAATAATTAATACACCCTTACCTTGACTGATGCTCACAATTAACAGAAAATGAATGAAAATTGTAAGCACCACTCACTTGCACACAGATCAGTTTGGTGGATAAAAACACCATCACTTCCTAGACTTTATTTCATTAACGATCAGTAACGACCAGGTATTGACAACCCCATATTTCCTGGAACACATACGAAATCCATAAAACACTAAGAATTAATTTCCTGAAAACAGGATAAAAGGTGACAAATGATAAACCAACACTAACGAACAAATACACTCTTCACCAGATACATCATCTCCCAAAACTCTTTATTTCTATTTTCTTATTCCAGATTTGAGGGAAATATTAATAAATACTAGCCTAAATTTTATTAGCTATTACTTCATTAAACGACTTCGTAATTACTTGCTTAAACTACCAGCTACTATTCCTTTAAGCTTTCTCAAATCTATTGCAGTCATGATTCATATTACGAGACAGAAGTGACTTAAAAATAGCAGTCACAAGCTGCACAGCAGTGTCCTCGACTTCTTTCTGGAATCATAATGCATTCTAAACCATAACTCATTTGCAGTAACTTCATGAGCTCCTGATTCCAGAAAAAAGCCCCATACTACAGTAGTACTGTTTCTTGTGGAAATTGGTCAATATAGGAAGAACCAAGAGATTGTTTGCCAACGAAAAAATGAGTCACCAGCCAACTCAACACAGTATCGACGTTCAAACTGCGTTACCAATATATAATAAAGAAAATTACAACTACATGCTTGACCCGCTATCACTAGTACTAATCTGACATGCACCCAAAAAGTCTATCATATATTGAATTCAAATGCACAGAAGAATAGCTTTAGAAATGAAAACCAAAGTATTTTAGAAATATCTAAAAATTACTTTATCGTTGGATTGGATAATTCAATTTTATAAGAAGCAATATCCAACAAAAGATCACATACAGGACATTTTATAAACATAAAAAACTTGTAGAGCAAACATAAGACTAAGAAATATTTCATGTTAAGTTAGTAGCAATACTGCCTTCTTTATTTGAAAGCATATTTGAAATCAATCAATAACTTCTGAGCCCAAAAGAAGATAAGCAAGGAAATGATCTAAATTTCTTTATATCCTAGTTATATGGATCTTTTGAGCAACAAATAAATACAATCATGATCAAATTAAATAATTCAAAAATAATCGTTGAACAAAATAATGAAAAATTAATTATAACTCTTAGAAAATATGAAAAAGCTAATAATAAAATATGCAATAACATTCCACATTGAATGACAAATTTTAAAAATTATTATCATAAACGAAAGCTCTATGCAACTATTTGTCACACCTTCGCATTTCACTAACAATGACTCAAGACAACTTCAAATTATAACGTCAAAAAGTATGAACTACGATTTCAGTGACCCCAAAAATACTTGTGATGGCCCACTTCCACCAAGTGACCGCTAAATGTGGAGTTTTTCTACGTGATGCAACCAATGATCGAATCTGTGAAAGAGTGTCAGAATACTGATGAGGACCTGAAGTGAAAATGCATCATAAAAATATGAAACTAACATCAAATATTCTTGGAACAAAAAAGGGAAGGATTTGATCTCAAAAATTAAGAAAATTAAAAAAATTCAATTATCCTAATATATAAAAAACGGGCAGCTGACCGTGAGCGTAGTGCGTTGCAACGGATATTTCTAAAGCTGGCGTCTCGTTGATTTTCAATTCACTACAGTTAGCATCTTTCTGGAAACATATCGCAACTTTGGACTATTTAAACAAATCTTAATATTACCTTACGACTATACTAAAATTACCTTGTCAGTTGGTTACCATAACTTCTCATCCCATAAATCTTAATATTACCTTACGACTATACTAAAATAATAAAAAATGTGGAGATTGATACTATTTAACTTAAATCATTCTGTATGAATTCCTCACAAGAAACTGGAAAGAGAGAGGAGACTCTGTATGTAAATCACACACATGAAGAATATAACGAACTCTTTTAAGAACAATCCACGAATTCCATTCTGATGGAGCTTCAGCGCCATACGTAAGAAAGACGAAGTATGTATCACGTTTACCAAATTCATCAGAACGAAAGGTTGTAAATGACCAACTATCTATTTCGAAGTCATTTAAAGGAGTCAAATGTAGTGACATTTTATCAACACCACCCGAAATTGAGATATTCATTCGCAGCAGGCATTTTGAAACTAAACGTTTTTCAGTATTTCTCACTGTAATAGGATGAACTATTCGTGGATGGCCTGGTAACGGTATCCAACTCGATTCTCTATAATCTAATATCTCGAAGCAATGTCCTCTTCGATTTATTTTTTGCTCTGGAGGGATTCAGTATTGATGAAAAGAACGACAACAGAGTAAATTTTGAGTAATTACAATCTTGAAGAGTTAAAATTTTTTTTGGATACATAAACTTCTATGGAGAATTTTCATAAACAATCACAATTTTTTTGCACACAAACTACTGAAAATTCCAAAAACTAAAAGAGTACTCTGGAGGAAATATTTGATGAATCGCTGCATAATATGGTAGTCGACAGTATTCATCTTTGATGCCACTGCAGTTTGGCTTATTAATTCCTGAAAACTACGTTGAATTAACAATATTATAGTTTCAACATTAAAAGTAATCGTGAACTGTTTAATGAGTACGTGTTACCAGTCAAAAAAGTGTGTTCTGGTAAATCTGTTACTCCTCGGTAATCCAAAGATTGTACAAATAATGCATGCTCTCCAAATGATGTATTACTCTGATATGGGAAAGTCGATCGCTGTGTATCCTAAAATGTCATAAAATCGACAAAATATTTGAAAAAGAAAACATTTAGCTAATTATAGTTTCTAACAAAATAATTACATATTATGCTACCATATTTTCTAAAAAACTGAAAACATGCCAAAGTAATAAGACGCCTCAAGCGCGGGCTTTCTTTTGAAAATTTGTAGGGCCAGCCAAGTCTAGTGGTAAGTAAAGCAGTAAAAAATAAAAGATAAAGCAATGAACCACATTTGACAAGATAGTCTATGCGACGACTAACATACAGTAGGTTACTCTGAAAGAAGCAATGCCACAGATTACTTTTAATATCAACATTATTCAAGATTTATCATTTGTTAAAAAACATAAATATACATTCTTAAATTACTAAGCTCAAAAATGGTTATAGAAGAATCGAGATAAAATATTCGCCGTTTTTGTTTGATAGGATAAGCTTTCTAACTTCAAACCAAGGTGTAATAAATGCAAGCAACATTGAACATACCGTATGGGATACGAAGGATAACGCCACCAAGAAACTGAATGCCATGATGACAAATTCAGGATTAACAGCTGTACCCATACGTCCCGTGACTGGAACGAAAAAGTCAAAAAGTAACATTGCTGCGTAGGCATCAAATACCATTACAGGAGTGGTACATAATAACTGGGCAAATAATAACCACTGAGGAGTGATTTCTGCAAAAAGCTTTGGTTAAAAACAATGAAAAAGAAATGAAGCTTATATAGTGATATATCTAACTGACCGACATGAAATACATATTCTAAAAGATTCACAGAAAAATTTCTCTAACATTGCATGCTTTGGAAAATCCATCGCTGATATATATTGCTCATTACAAAAAGTAAAAGACAATAATGAGTGAAAAAATACTTTTAAATAATCGAATTTTCCCCATAAGCCAAAGCAGTGGATCACGAAGTAGCGGAAAGAACGTATGAAAAAGCAAAAAGAAAGCGCTCGCAAAGCCAGCAAATGTTGCAACTGCTAACAATATTGAAGATACCAGTAAAACACAATCAAAATACACCATTTCCTTATTCGATTTCTGGAATCTGTTTGCTCAATACATAAAATTGTTAGAAACCATTGGTTTCCTGAACTCTTTGACACAATTATTATTCGAGAAATCTTGACCAGCCAAAATACAAAACGGGATCTGGTCTGATTTGATATAAAAAGCCAATGTTCTGAAAGCATCAAAATCTGTTGCTGATGAGGTGAAGCTGTGTACAACGAAAAAATAATTGAGCATAAACACTGAAAAACTTTCTTACATTAAGAAATAATTCATCAAAGCTTGTGCCACCTGAAAGCCTAATTTTCTCAGATTTTTATTGCCTGTGAAGATATATTTAGAAGGAAAGTATTAAAATAGAGCCTAAATTATATAAAAAAAATACTGTTGCTGAATCCCTTCCAGAGTTTCTACCAGAAAAAAATAAAAAACTGAATAAACTTACCCTATGTACGTACAATATGATGCTATGAAATGAAAAACCAGTAATAATCATCGGAAATATGTAAAGAGGAAATACTAATTCTGGAAAAGAATACCAAGACATTATCATTCCCAGTTGCACTAGAACGCTAACTATAAGTGCTCCGGTTCCTGAAATAAATATTTCCACTTATAAAGATACCAAAAACAAGTGGATTTTTTGATTTAAAACAAAGCAGAATATTTTGTAATTATTTTATGAAAGTCAACATAATTTTTGCATGCAACATAAAAACATAGTCATGATGCACCAGCGATGTAAACGAAATTTATCCACATTTTTTCTTCTTTATTAAGCACTACCTGAGAATAAAATTGGTAATAATCATAAAACTATCTTTTGAAACAGTCATTACTACAATTCTTTCATATAATGAGATTTCATGCAATTTTACTTGTTAGACACTTACCAAACATCACAATAAGCGTGCTGATGTGCTCAACAATGGATCGTAATAAATCCACAAAGCTATAAAATCCTTTTCGGATGTGAGAGAAGATAAAAAGAAAAATTACTGATATCGTTATGTAATTGATTATTTGTCCAATGGCTATGGGATAAAAAACCGTAAAAATACCAATAACATCATAAAATACCCACTGATTACCTTGTTCAAAATCACCAGGATGATCCAAATAAGGTGACTCAATTAGAGCCTGAAAATAATGTGAATCTGTATATTCATTTATAATTCATATAATTCATTTATTTCATTTATTCATTTAATTCATTTATTTTCACATTATTTTCAGGCTTTAATTGAGTCACCTTATTTGGATCATATATTTCATTTATTTTTTTAAATTGCCCAAGTAGTCCCTGATGAAGTATTACGAAAAATTTGAAGCATTAAAAAAATGTATTCATATATACTAACTGAAAACCGAGCAATTTACTTGCTCTCATCAATTGAATTCGTCTTTACTTTTCTCAATTACTTAGCAATCAAACTGTACTGGCTACATAGATCTTTATGGATCTAGATTATTTTATCTATATCAACACCCTATCACTTCCTGCTACAGTTCGTCTCACATACTTTGATCAAGCATAAATTATCTTGAACCAAATGCATATGTAACGTTGGTCTTAATATGAAAATGCTTAATCCAGGACGATTTATTCTAATCCCGCTCCAATATTTTTGTAATGGTTACTACTGATCAGCCTCCAATAAGATAAATAAACCTTAGTAACAGCAAGAATATTTTCACCAGCTCTTTGAATACAGCCCGCAGTGATGTATTCAGGGAGGTCAAATTCAGTATGATATACCCAACCATTTCGAAAATATGCTATATCAAGACCTGAAATTTAAATAAGTCACATTTAGCACACTTTTCTCGAAAAAACAATATTTAAACCTACCAGAAATACGACCATAATCTCGAAAAACCCGAAAATCCGTATCAGATGGTATTACACCGAATTGAAATATTTCTTGTGCTAATACGTTACAATGAGGATGAGGTGCATTTTTTAAATAAGTATGCAATAACCACGAATTTCCAGGCCCAGTCTGAAAAAACAGTTCAAAAATGTGACCGAAATAAAGTTCTGTGTCTGAAACAATATAAGGAAATATGCCTGAAATAATATCTCACGGCCACCAGCACCAGAACCTTCCAGATTTAAAAATGCTCGAACAGAATGTCGCCATGGATGCTGCGTGATAAAGCCGTGCGATGCTTGCAAAAAATTTTCTTCCGCTGAAATGCACAAGAATAACACAATGAAAAAAGTGCTTCAGTAGAAAAAATAATTGTTATTATGCTAATTCATGTTAAATTAAGATGGTATTTAACTTTCCTTTCAATGATGAGTTAAATACCATTTGTACAAATATCAAGAATTCCGCTCATTATAAAAGTAATTACTGACCATCAACAAATTTGAATTTGCATAATTTAGCAAATGACGAGCAAAATCTAAAAATTTATTGCAATTCAATTTACTGACATTAGAATTATAGCTATCTAAAATTTTAACATGGTAAATATCTAGGACAAATTTTTACTGAAAAAAAGATTTAACCAGTACAATACAGTTCATTTCAACCACGATATCTGAAAAGCTGTTTCGGAAAATGATCTCTACATTAAAAAAATCAGAGAAAAAGCTCTCGTTCCAAATGAATTAACATAGTAACAAATATCGTTGCTAACTTCAATGTTAATAAAATAACTCACCTCCATTGAAAAGGAAAGTTATGTCATTTTGAAGAGAGTCCTCCGAATGAGATAAAATCTCCATAACTTCCATCATAACTGCACAGCTTACCTCAAATTAACTGTTGAAAAAAGTGAGAACAAATTAGAGATCAAAAATTGATAATACTATGACTAATGTAATTGATGGACAAACGATATCTTAATATAATTTATTAAATCGAAAAACAGAAGGCTCCTTTATATGCTACTATGAAAAATAATCAAGTGCAGTCATGTTTAGAAAACAATGAAAGAAGTTATCTAAAAATAGAAAATTGTTTCCACAAACCATAATTCTAGTATCAGTAAATATGAGGAACTTACAGCATCATCAGTAGCACCAGGTGAATCTGGCATTGTATCAAAATGACAATTCAGTAAAATGGAGTGTTTTGATGGCGTCTTAGGACCAATGCGTGCTTTAATGAATACATGCTTTTAACTGTCCAGATATTTTCAAAACCGGAAACGTTTAATATTTCATTCTAGAAAGCAGGTAAAATTACTGCGAATATCAAAACAAATAGATGAATTACCGATAATATTTGTTATTTTATGATAACATAAAGTGAAGGAAGATAAAAATTTGAGATCAAAGCATCCAGAAGGACGTTGAATATCGATTTCCAAACGATTTCGTCCACGCGCATCTACTTCTGCTTTTGCTAATTTCAGTTTATCAGTAATTAGATTAAATGCATGTACCTGAAATAAACTGTGTAATACACTCTACAATATTATTTACTGCTTCGTTTTATCTGATTTTTCAAGCTTTTTCATCCTATTAAATTCTACGGTACAATAGAAAAGTGTTTACTTCGCAGTTTTCCGAACCACTTGGACGTGGACCAAGATTTGTGAGAGATTGCAACAGAACACGAGCTCGTTCCTCTGAGAATTCGTCAAATTGCCCTGTTGGCTTAACTTCCGGCATTTTACTATACTGATAAACTACAAATCCATAAATAATACCAATAATTGTGAAAATCAGAAACCAGTGGCGAAAACCCAAATACTCTGTTTGCTGCAAATACAAATTTCACCGTTTCATGGAGTGCGATATTTCTTTGAAAATTAATGACAGATGCAATTATCACAATAAACAGTGATACATTGCTGAGCATGAAAAAGAGATATACAATAACAAAACTTAGTAAAAAACTGACCTTATCATTTGCATCAAAATTTTTTCCACTGATTTCATTTTCTCTTATATGTTTGGGATTTCTACGATGGCGTAAGTGCATTTTTATTTTGGGTACTGCAGCTACAATCAAAATTAGATATCGGTTGAGTAGGTACAAAATAAGAATACTGGAAAATAATTTAGCATTGTAAGTCATAAAAAAGTACTAAGCAATTTATTACTGATGCGAAACTTGTTTATTTCATAAGAGAACAATGAACGCTTATGTATTAGGCCATAAGAAACGAAAATAATCACTATTTGATCATCAAGGAAAAAGAGATGAGAGAATTGACAAAATCGCTGCGACAAATGATGGTACAACAGATTTTAAATACCAACAAGAAAAGTAACACAAATTCTGCAAAGAAAAGTTGGTTACACTGTAATATCATGGTGTCTCAACGTATGCTCTAATTTAAAATGAATGCATACAGAGGAAATTTCGAAACCATGTATGTTGGAAGATTGGTAGCATATTATACTGGTAGTATATTACTAGGTATACAATTACATATTTAACAATACATAACAAATGATGAAATCTAAAAAATTGCCATCACTTACATAAAACAAAGAAGAAGGAAAAATAAATATCCTAATTAACTGTTTAATATAAATCTCGTAAGCAATTGCATCTTAACTCATTACATGAAATACTTCTTGCTAGGACACAAAGTGAGCATTTCACTTAGCTGAGCTGTAAAATAAATTTGCATTAACAAGCATAATCGTCAACGCTTTATTTTACTTGGGCCGCGATAAATACGTACGAACCGCTAAATGCCTCCTTAAAACCTCATAGACTTGCTTGAAACTCTCGCTACCTATTGGAAACAGAAAGTGGGGGCGGAAAAGATTGAGAGAACGGAGTTCTTTTTTTCTTCAACCATGTCCTGCTTCAGACACAAAGCATGCAATGATTCGTTAAATATAGTAGCATAGATAACGACAGGGCTAAGCAGTTAGAAGTATTGTTCGAGTTTTTCTAATTCACTCATTCGCCTTGATATCGGTGATGAGAAATGTTCTAGAACAATTTTTTTTCTTTATAAACTCATCAGATTACTCGTGAATTATTTGAGAAGGCACAGAATGCTCCATTTACAAAATTATTCACTGTTTGACTGGTTAACTTACTCTATACTTCCATGTACTTTGTTTTTTTAGACCGATTAGGTTGTAATACAATTGAAGGTAGCGAATGATATACTTGTCATTATTGTAGAAAGTAGTGAAATAGCAAAGCATCGGAACCTTGTATGCAGAAAATAAGTTAAAAGTACAAAAGGTCACGCTAGTAAGCAAAATAAATCTCCGCAATGATATTCAAAGGTCACTGCAGTATTTGATTTACGTAGAATTTAAATAAAAAGTTTTTGGAAATAATGAAAGAAGTAATAAGGAGTGGTCATCCAACGTGATGGCAAACAGCAACAGATTAAGGTTAAGTAGCAACTACATGTTAATCAGTTGAGCCAATTTTCTGTGGTGTAAGGTGTTAATAATCTTTCAGTTTATCTACGGTGATATATGTTTGTAATTTGCCTGAAAACGCCATGTCCAACTGCTCAAAATCTGAAGGATCCAGTTTATACAAATTAGTTAAACGATCTCGACAAGAAAGTAGCGAGTGCAGTGCCAGAACGATTGATGATTCGGAAGGATTGACATCCAGTCAAGTTGTTCGAGAAGCCAATACCACTGTAGATTCTAAATTTGTAATGCAAAAAACAAAAATTAATTTCTCTACAAATTAAGCAACCCATTTTCTAGTGAAGTGATTTTTGTCGTAAACCTTATTAGGCTGCAGTTAAATGTCCTAAATAATTGTTGCATTTAATTGTAGTTTGATACAAGCGATTGGTCATTTCAGAAAAAATGAAATATAAAAATTTATCAAGCTCATTTGATTAACTAAAAACATTAAGAGTTAAAATATTTTAAGACTAATGTAGCTGAAGATCAGAATCGTACTCTTGAATCTGGTAATGCTCGAATTCTCGGAAATGGTGGGTGAATTTTGAGTTTTAATTATTTCTTAAATATGACTGATCGGTGTTTTACTTATCCCCCATTTTACCGATTTTAGCGAAGAATTTCGAATGGAAAAAATTCGTTAAAATCAGAAATCGAGGATAAACTTGCTTGCTTTCGTTTATCTTATGCAAAAATTTGTATCCACTTGCAACTCTGTATTGTTAATTAGCTTTATTATATTTTTAGTTTCAACTCACTTTTAGTGAATAACTAAGGCGATTGCTGGTCTTTCTTAGAAAACATAGATAAAGGATAAGTATGATAAGTAATTTGATATATTGATTATGCCTTTTCGAAAGTTTTGTATTGCATAACTTGTTCCTGAAGCATATAGATGGAGTCCAAACTCGATCAGTGGATTCATGGCAAGTTCATCAGGAGGTTTAAACCAAATTTTGATTGCATTTACTCTATTAGCTTGCTATTTCAAATAATAATCGTGTCGTATATCAATATTTTTTGAGTGCTGGCATCAAACTTTCAGGCTAATAAACATTGGAATCAAATATACATCTTCTTCTCTTATTATGCTTACTTTTTCAGTTCAAAATCTACTAATAATTTACAGAAAATGAAGATGAAAGTTCCCCAACAAGAAGTACAGTGAGAATCGGAAGTATAGGACATGATCGAGATAGTCCTATTTCGCCATTGATAGCAGAAGATGAAAATTTCGTTCGTCATTCAGTAATATGAAAAATAAATTTAATATTATTAATTATCACTGCTTACTACTTAAACCACCATTAATTGCTTTGACTTCTTCTTGTAGTTATTGCATACTTATTTTTAGTGTTCTAAAATTTGTCAGATATTTCAGACAAACTCGTCTGTGTTTACACCTAGTCGTCCAATTAGCTCCAGCTATTTTAGCGATGTATTTAGTTTTCCAACCTTTTCTGAAAGCAGCGATGATAGCGGAAGCGGAAGTGAAAGTACAGTATTTAATGCAAGGTGAAAATTTTAACAGCTTAAACATATTCTGTAGTAGTTACTTTATTTTTCCACAATTAAGTTGCAGCAATTTTTATAACAGAACAACGAAAGCGAAATCAGAGCCGTATTTTATCAGATTATACTACTGTTCATTCGTTACTGAGGTGATAATAATCACCTTCCCAACATTCTATGTTAATGTAAGTATCATTTTTATATAATCGCTGTTTTTGACTTTTTGTGACGAGTAAACGAGTACCACGCGTTGTTGTCATTGGTTTAGCTATGAATCTTTTTAGCTGACTGCTAAGTACAAGGTCGACAAATTAATTGTTTGATTTTAACGGTTGCATACCTAAAGCTACAAAATTCAATTTAGAAGTGTGACTTTAAAATTAAAATATGATCTTTTCAGGAACAGTGGGAACAGAGGTTATTGATCCCCCTGAGCAAAAGTAATTATTGTATACAAGATTTTGAAAAGTCAAGTAGGGCAGCAAGATGTAGAATTGAATTTTGCCCTCTCTTCATCTTAGATGCTTAGATCATCATTTTCAATGAATTGCAAATGAATTCACATAGTTTTATTTTAATATCGTCAAGTCTTCATTAGGCATCAAAAATGTCTAATAACGATAAATTGTTAAGCAAATTTCATCCCTACTTCGTTGGTAAATCTAAGATGTGATGCACATCAAAAAACTGCATAGAATTCACAACCATCAAACATTTGCATTTTTGTCCTCCAAGTTTTTAACTATCATAAATAGTAATAAAATATCAATTAATAAGTTTTTAATTTCTTTCATCTCAAGCAGTTCCAGGTCATTCAAATCTATCATCATATATTTTTAATAAGTTTTTAATTTCTTTCATCTCAAGCAGTTCCAGGTCATCCAAATCTATCATCATATAAGTACAACGGGGTATAATATTTGCGCTCTCTTTTTTTGCTTTTTTCGAATTTCTTCACAGTTTTTGTTAAACTAGCTATGAATTTATTAGTAAAAATGAATTGTGGAGATTCAATTTTATTAATACAAATTTTATAAAAAATTTATCAGATAATTTGGTTAGTTTGTTTCTGTACTCGAGCATGTTTTCTTTTTGAAGGACAATGCGCTATTTCAACTTAATGCGTCTTTGTGGTCAGCTGCTAGGAATAAAAAGGTTGAATATGAGAGAAGATTGATTTATATTTGTGCTCAGCATGTTGCCCATCTTTGGGAGTTCGAGCAAAAAATATTGTAGGTTTACTTTGACAAGTATTGCGTAACTTTAAAATAAAGCAAAAAAAAACTAAAGCAAAATATATTGAATGCAGTGATTGTAATTGCAGTGATTTTACTGATTCGGTAAAACTTGGAGAAGGTGCGTTCGGCGAGGTTTACCGAGTTAGATACAAAAATGAATTCATTGCTTTGAAGGTAAGATCAAGTGTGCTCCCGTAAAGATTGCGTTTTTTATTAAAGTTTATGTTTGCTTACATTTAGATAATTCCTATTAACTTCGTGAATAAGACTAAGAGACGAACACACTTTCGTGAGCTTGCTATGGAAGTTATTGCGTCGAAGGCACTATTAAATTTGAAAGAGGTTGAGAATGGTTGTTCAACTCAAGGTTTTATCGGTTTGAAGAAAGCGGTGGTTGTTAAAGGTAACTCTTTAATGAACTATTTATTGTTGTTCTAGAGTACTGCGAACTTCATTAATTGTTTGTTATTGATGCATGTTTAGGGCTTTACCCACAATCGTTATTTTTTGCATGGGAAACATACAATAAAAATTGCATATCTGACAATGATCATCCAAGCGCTTATGATAGTAATCAGCATTATCTGCTTCTTGCATTCGAGGAAGGTGGTATTGACCTCGCACATTATATGGTACTTATTTTTCGTATTGTTTTTTTGATATTTGAATGCATAGATAAAAATATAAGTTAAAAGAATAGAGTTTATAATTTGATCTTTTTATTTTATGACTTTTTTGTTTTACATATTTATCGGTAATGCAAGTTTTATATCTGCTATTAATATATTTTTCAAGTTTTTTAGTCAAATTACTTTTCAGGTTGAAAATACTTTACAAGGTTACAGTATTGCGTATCAAATGATTATTGCTCTTTCTGTGGCAGAGTGTCGTTTGTCATTTGAACACCGGGATCTCCACTGTGGCAATGTATTGATTAAAAAAATTGATCCAGGTGTTTCAATTAAGTAAGTATTAAATTAAATTGAATGCGTGAAATTTGATTTGGTAATGATTCTAAAGTAGTATTTTTCAGCGCTACTCTCAGCGGTAATGAAATTCATTTGGCCTCTCATGGCGTACTAGTAAAAATTATTGACTTCAGTTTCTCTAAACTGTCCAAGGGTATTCAGTTTTGTAATTTTTTGATAGTCTCAAAAATGCACCAAATTTGATTTTAAAAGGATTTATTTTGAACTTTGCTGATTGTTTGAGAATACGAAAAAGTACAGCTACTTTGACTTACATGGTTATTTTGTTAATTTTAGATAACATTAGAGCTGTCGTTAATTTGTCAGAAAATAACGACAAGTATACTAGCGAAGGCTTTTCCCACTCTGAATTTTATGAAAGGATGCATAGTGCATATGGGTAATTGCTTCTTAATGTATGTATAGTAATAAAGAAAAGCGTGAATTACGAGTAATTTGTTTTTAGGAGTGAGTTGGAAGACGTTAATCGAGAATCAAATTCATTATGGGTATTTTATGTCGTTCGTCACTTACATGACACAATGGTTGAACGCAATATTGGTACTTCCCAGCAAAGAATGGGTTTCATTTATCATTTCAACACCATTGGATCTTACGGTGACTTTTCAGTTCATAGTCATAATTTAATTGACAAAAATCTGTAAACAATATTGTTTGATCTGTTTTCTTGATTTTAAATAGTTTTGGACATCTTTGAATAATCTAGATGTTTCTCACTGAAAATTGGTTTCATTATTATCTTCATATTAATCTCCAACATGAGACGTCTTCATTATGTTAGCTGAAATAATACCATTTTGTCTGGTCAGTCTGATATTCTGTCCAATACTTTTTATATTTTTTTGAAATGTTTTTCATTTTGTATCTAAAAAATTGCAGGTAGTTTACTTTCATGTTCAAAATTACAGAGAGCTTGAGTCAGTGGCTAATGCAGAAGAGAAGTGAAAGCAGTTTTATCATGTCTTATCGGTGAAAAAGCAGATTAAGGTCGACAGCATCATTTTGTTATTTTTACCAATTTGCTATGTTTTACGGTTTTTTGCTTCCAAATTAAACAAATTGAAAAGTATTGCTAGCAGCTCCAAGAAAAAAGCAGATTTTTAATTCAAGGCTCAATTTGATTTTTTTGAATCAAATATTCAACTAGAAACTTTTGGTCTCAGTAATATTTTCATCCCTAAGAAATGAGATAAATGACGAGTCTTGAGACATGAAATATGCTTTGGATTGGATTCTTCATTGTGCTATCTATGAAATCAGTTTTATAACTCTATCACTTACCGTTGTTGTTTTTGCTGCTTTTAATAGATGTCATTAAATATTTTTTTTAAAGAGCATGTGCGATCCAGTGATAGAGTTATAAAACTGATTTCATACATGTAAATCCTTTTTATTGACATATGAATTTATGTAATATTCGTTTTAGTTAACCTGATTTTCACTAAATAAGCATTGTTTTTAATTACCATCAAAGCAGGCTACATGTAATTTATACATCAAAAGTAGCATAGCCAAATTTTTGGCATGAAAATTTCAAATTCATCATTTACATGTGGAATGTTTTGTCTTACTCAATATGTAAAGTATGAAATTTTTCGAATCTGTTTGCATGTTGTTTCTGAGTTATACAAAAAGGTTTATACTTAAAAGTGTTTAAAATAATCGGGTGTGTTTAAAAAAATAAGTATACATTTCTCTGCTTTGCGATATTTCCATTTGAGCTAATAGGAATGGAATATGCAATCACGAGGGAACTCTGCCAGCAGATCGTATTTGTAATAGATATCGATACGTCTGTTGCCGTTGGTTGTGTCATTGTAATAACTGGTCATCATACAGAACTGACGTACAGGTCTTTATTTTTATTTTTTTGGTATCTAACTTTTCCAGATTGACCAAATACGCGTTATTTAGGTATACACATTTCTTCTTTATGTTGTATTTGAAGTTTTAGTCCACAAATATTTTCTGCAATTAACATTGTCTTGCAGGAAACTGTAATTAGCAGTCGAGACAGTGATAAATAATATTAAACTGTTGTCTGGCATGAGTGGCAGTTGTTCGATGATAATCATATTAAAGGGGTGAATGGTTTCTTATTGGCTGATTGCTGAAAAGGGAGTATTTACCGTAATTGTTCTATATTTAGCAAGAATAATGGTAAGAATATGTCATATCAAAAATGATTGACATGTACGATCACCATTAGATAGATAATCGATCAAATCTTTCACATAATTGACCAACTATGGTAATCAGTCACTAGATAATATTGATCTTTGTTGATGTCTGGTATATGATTACTATTAACTATTTCTGCATGACAAGTTTTTTCAGATTCGTCTTTGAGGAGTAAAGCGCCTTAAATACTGTACCAAATACTTGTTCCAGATCGAGTTTAAATAGGAGTAGATAGATTTGTTGATTTAGTATTTTCAGGAAGCTGTAATTAGCAATACATATATATATATA